AACAGGTAACATGTTCAGTCCCACCTACATATTTCCCTAGGGGAATAGCATACATTTAGGCACAACTGATGGTAAACTCTGGACTTGAACATTTGGGCCCTCCTGCCAGGATACTTGTCTTTTTTTTTTTTTTTTTTTTGGGGGATTGGGGGCAGGGGGGGTTAGGGGGGGTGGAGAGGGGCTTGACTGAGGGGGTGACCAGATTCCCCAGGATGCAGGAGAACACTAGGCAAAGGCAAGCTCCAGTCACAGCAGAATTGAGGCTGCCCTTCTAAACGTTTACCTCCTTGTTGAAAGGCGAAACAGTTCACATGCAGCACCTTCTAATCAGTGCTTGATTTGGGGGCTTATTAAAGACAGGCCCAGATTACTAGATTACTAGTTCTGACCCTAATTCCATTTGAGGGCCTCAATAGAAAGCCTGGCAAAGATCATTGCACCCACCTATGTAGCTTTTGTTTCTACATGTGATTTTTCAGGAATTTTTTCCCCTTCCTTCCTAGAGTTCATGTGCTCAGGCTGCTCATTCATCATCTTAGGGTGCTTTCCTCCCATCTCCACCTTCAGATCAGGGAGGCTCTGGAAGTGATTAGGCTGCTGTAAATCAGCTTTTATGAGGTGTACATCATAGATAAGCAGCAAGGAAAATAGGAGTTGGAGGATTCAGTGCCCCTGGCCTTGACAGTTATCCAAGTAACCAATTTTTTCTTTTTAAATGACTGAAAAGTATGTTTGTCAGAATAGTTTCTTCATGGGCATGCCCAGTGTTTAAACTTGACTCTAACGAGAACATTGTCTTATTTTTACACCATTTTATGGAGGTATAATTTATATAAGGTAAAGCAAACAGATGCTAAAAGCACACCTCAAAAACCTTTTACATATGTATATCCTGTTAAATGATCACTAAGGTTTTCTCTCCGGTGGTACCTTAGGACATTGCCAGCACCCCGGAAGCTTCCTTTATATGCTCCACCCACTACCCTGAACTCTTTTAACATAAACCATAAACAGGCTTAGGTGCTCTTGAACATCATGTAAATGGAATCACATAGCACATACTCTTGTGTCTCAGTATTTTCTATGAGAGTCATCCTCCTTATTGGATGTAGCTATTCTCATTGTTGTGTGGCATTCAGCTGTGTGGTGGCATCTCAACTGTGGCATCGTTGATGTCCTGGGCTGGGTGATTTTTGTTGTGAGGGCTGCCCTGTGCATTGTACCATGTTTAGTAATATCGCTCTGGCTTCTCCCCAACTAGTTGCCAATAGCATTCCCCATCCCCAATAATTTCCCCTGGAATCGAACACCTTTACATCACATAAATATACTAAGATTTTTGGGAAACTTTTTTGGTTTTGTTTTTTAATATTTATGTTTGTATAGAAGAACTGGGGTGTAGGCCAGAGGTGTGGGGGGGGAGGGGGTGAGAGGATTCACCAGAGACAGAGTGGGGAGCAGAACAGGTAGATCTACTGAGAAACACTGCTGAGGAGAGCAGCGGGCAAGACAGGACAGTCTGCTGCACCATGTGGGTAGCTCCCTGGCCAGGAATCAATCAAGCTCAGGCCATTGTGGTGGCAGTGCTGAGACTTAACCCCTAGGCCACCAGGGCAACCCTTGAGAAACTTTTTTGAAATAATTTCAAACATTTTGAAAGGTTGTAAAAATGGAACAATTTGTACCTTTTGTTAGCATTTCATCCTATTTGCTTTGTCATTCACATTCTTGCTCATACACACACTCGCACACATAATTTATTTCTGAATATTTTGGGAGCAAATTGCATCTACCTCGGCCATTTACCACCATCCGCATGTGTATTTCCCAGAAATAAGGATCTTCTCAAACAATATCATAATTACCCATTAACCATGGTAAATTTAGCATAATACATTTATCTATTTATTCCCTGTGTTTCAATTTCTGTCAGTTAACCAAATTGACAGAATTTGCTTCCCCTACAGAGCAGGTTCCTGTCCAGGATAAGATATTGTATATTTAATCTGGTTTCTTCATGTCCATCTAGAACATTAAGTCTTTGTCATTAATGATGCAGGAATTTTTGGTTTTGTTTTCTTTTTTTTTTTTAAGAATTACAAGTTTGTTATTGTTTTGTTTTCCCACTGTTGAATTAACATTGCCAGAAATTTATTAAAAAAAAAAAAAAGAATACAGGAAATACAGGAAACTTTTCTTGCTAGAACATTCCTCATTTGGGAGCTTTCTAATCTTCCCTACTGAACACATTCAGGACACACACTCTTGACTGGAAGACTGTATAGGGCATCACATCTGGAGGCAGGTGATGTCTGGGTGCACCTCATTGGTGATGTGACGTTTGCGACTCTTTTTGAAGTGTTGTCTGGTGTCTGCACAGTACAGTCACTAAATTTCCCTTTATAATTAATAAGCAGTATGTGGAAAGATACTTAATACCAGACAAATTCCTGCTTTCCCATCAAATTATACTCCCTCTCCCTGCCACCCCAGTTGAGCATTCTTTGACCCTTGCACAAATCATTCTTTACTTACAGAGGTTACAAAGGACTGATCTTACTCAATGTAAGGCTGCGACATCTGTGACCCCACTGGCTGCCAGAGTTGATTTGGCTGATCAGGCTGGTTAGGCATATGTCTCCCTCTGGCCTCACCACTCTGTGTTCCTACCCCCAGAAGCTGTGGGCTTGGTCAAAGAGGACAGCCTTGCCCAAATACAGACTGACAGTCCTTCAGTCGACTGTACACCATTAGCTATGCCCCGCTACTAGAGCCTCCAAACAAGCTCTCAGTGTCCACAAAATGCTGATCTTCCAAATCCAGAATTCCTTCCGTGTGCACTCATTCTGTTCAGCATTCTGCCATATAGAAGAGCCCACTCTTTCCCCACATTTATTTATTGATTGTATCTGTTACTAGTATGGAACTCACGGATTCCTTCCCCTCCCCCCCCAGTGCTTTCTAAATCATTACTCTTCTAAATATTTTAATATCAAATTGCTCAGATTTAATTCATGGGAGCTCCTTCAAGGTATTCTTATACACCCTCATCTTTTTTCTGTTTTAACACTTCTTTTTTTTGGCATAACAAAATGTTCCATCATCAGTTTTCCCTTTTCCTTCTGGAATCCCTCCAAAAGGGTCATTTCTGCAGAGTCTTAGTTCCCTTTTACGAGGAATGGTAGAAAACGCTATGGTAGAAAATGCCATGACTTACTGATCCTTTTTTTTAAAAAAAAAAAAAAAAGAATGTTCCTCTGAATAACTGTCTTCATGTTGGGACCTATAAACTGACTTTCATTAGGTATATAACCACGCAAGGCAATGGGAAGGAACAGAATCTCTACTCTGGTCATATACCCAACAAAAATGAGTATCTAAGGCCACAAAAAAATGGACACAAATATTCAAATGGCTTTGTTCATTAATCATATTTGCATATTTAGCTTTAGTAGATACTGCTTAGTAGTTGTCCAAAGTGTTTCTAACATTAGTTTTGTCGGGGAAGCGGAGGTTATTGGTTCTAATGGTGAGGAAGAATTTCCTTGAAGGATGGTGCATTACAAAGGAATCCAAAGATAGCTTGTGTGAGATCAAAAATGGCAAAATTCCTGATCTTTTCAGTGTATAATAAGTGGAAAGTACTAGTGTTTTTCACCTGGGCCATTCTTATGAATCATTTTAGAAGGTGCTGCTTTATGGTGGATAGAATGGAAGTTGCTAAAAGTCAAGAGTCTCTCACTATCTTCAAAATGACTTTCATCTCAATGACAACAGGAGCTGATTTGGCAGCTCTTAGGAAACGCAGATCCATTGTTAGAGATACTCACTATTAGAGAGCGGTAGGGTCACTGCTTTGTTTTTAAAAGTATCTGCAGGGGAAAGAGAAATGTCCCCAGAGTCCCACTTAGAACCCTGGAGTACCCATTTACTAATCAGCCTGAGAGAGTTAATTTCCCTTTATCTGTACCCAAGGAGTCAACTTAGTGTTCAAGACTTTGAAGAGATAGGGGCCTTGGGGCAGCATTCAAGCAGGAATGTGCTAGAGATGAAAGGGGAATGTACTAGAGGCTAAAGGTCCGGTAGCGTGGCACCAGATTCTAGGCTCAGAGTTTCCAGCAGCTGCTTGGGACAGGCCCAGTTTGTATTGCTTAAAGTTTCCTCATCCAAAACATCTGCCCTGCGTTGCTTCCAGTACACTATTAGAATCAAAAAGATAATAGAGCACTTTGTAAAGTGAAATTCTAAACAGGAAATACCATGTATAAGATTCACAGTGGGCGCTCAGCAGCTTTGATGGGACCTTGGAAGAATGAATAACTAGTAAGGTACCCTCTGTGGGTGGACACTGCAGAGGGAAAGCCCTCCCTCACACTATCTGAATGAACCCTTGCTCAGTGTGCAGCTGCGTAACCGTTCGCAGCAATCCTGTGGAGGTGGTGGTTGGGAGGCCCAACAGTTGTTATAGGGCAGCCCCTATATTGAACGGGTTGTCTGGCTGTGGGTCCTCACCCGCGCGCTTACAAGGGACTTATTAATACTCCACCACAGGCACACACAAAAGGTTAATAAAAGGTTTATTTACAAGGGAAAAGGAAATAAGGAAAATGTACAACTCAGGGAGAAAATAGGGAAATAAAGTCTTTAATGCGTCCTACCCGATCCGACGACCTGGAAACCCAAAAAGCACTCTCCGAGCTGGCCAGACGCTGCGAGCTAGCGGAGAGTCAAAATGGGGGACCCCTCCAAAGCCCACGTGTCTGGCTTTATACCAACTTAGCTGCTTAACCCACCCTCAGGTCCCAGCCACCTTCCCTTTGGTGGTAATGGGATTTGGAGTTCCCAGTGTCTCTGGCTTTGGCCTGGGGTGAGGGTGGAGTCCACAAAGCCTGTATGGAATTAGCTTTAGGACATCCTTTTCCCCCTAACACAGTGACGATGACTCCCCATTTCTGCACATTTGTATTCACATCCATGCCCCTCTCCTGTCTGTCCCTCAGGTCTCTCCGCGGAGGGTGGCGCCAAGCGCCAGGAGCACCTGTCGCGGTTTTCCATGCCTGACCTCAGCAAAGACTCCGGAATGAACGTCTCCGAGAAGTTGAGCAACATGGGCACGCTTAACTCGTCCATGCAATTCCGCAGCGCAGAGTCAGTCCGCAGCCTGCTCTCGGCCCAGCAGTACCAGGAGATGGAAGGAAACCTCCATCAGCTCGGCAACCCCATTGGGTACAGAGACCTGCAGTCCCACGGGAGGATGCATCAGAGCTTTGATTTTGATGGGGGCATGGCAGGCAGCAAGCTGCCAGGGCAGGAGGGCGTGAGGATCCAGCCCATGAGCGAGCGCACTCGCCGGAGAACTACTTCCCGCGATGACAACCGCCGCTTCCGACCTCACCGGTCCCGGCGTTCCCGACGCTCTCGCTCGGACAACGCCCTCCACCTGGCCAGCGAACGCGAGGCCATCTCGCGGTTAAAAGAAAGGCCCCCGCTAAGAGCCAGGGAGGACTATGACCAGTTCATGCGCCAGCGGAGCTTCCAGGAGAGCCTGGGTCAGGGGTCCCGGAGGGACCTGTATGGCCAGTGCCCAAGGACTGTGTCGGATCTGGCTTTGCAGAACGCCTTCGGGGAGCGGTGGGGACCGTACTTCGCCGAATACGATTGGTGCTCCACCTGCTCCTCCTCTTCAGAGTCTGACAACGAGGGCTATTTCCTAGGAGAACCGATCCCCCAGCCAGCCCGCCTGCGATACGTGACGAGTGATGAGCTCCTGCACAAATACAGCTCCTACGGCCTCCCCAAGTCTTCCACGCTAGGTGGCAGGGGACAGTTGCACAGCAGGAAAAGACAGAAGAGCAAAAACTGTATCATTTCTTAATCTGAGTGGAGGTCAGGGAATGGGGGCAGATGGGAGCTAAGAATGTAAATTCAGAAACTTGCACTGTTTTCCATGTTAAAGCGCTTTTGGGTGTGGTTACAGGGGAGAAAAGGGAAATGCTCTCTCGTGGATGGCGGCAAGGTCACAGATTGACTCGTAGGTAGTCACAGTTCTTGGCATGTCGATTATTATTTGCACATTTCACTTTGGAAATGCTATAGACTCTATGAGGCCAGGTCACCTCCTTCCCCCTCTGTGTTGTTGCCACTCGCAAGATGGCCAATTGTTTCTTGCTCGCTTCTATCCTCTCTGGTTCTCTTACTTTTAGGACTCTTTTTCCAGTAAGTAATTTCTTTATTAGCCAGGACCCCAGACTAAGTTATTTACATGTCCACTGTAAATGCAATGTAAATGAGAGTTCTGATAAAATATTTTTGTATTTTGTAATATCAAAGGGATTTCTATATGGTAGGACTCAGTGGAGACTTGCATGCTTATCCAGCATTGTCTTTCAGTAGTATTCCGAGGTGGTCCAGGACCACCTTTTTTCCCCCTTTTTTCTATACAAATTTGTTACATGTCAGTGAGACTTTTTTCAAAGAAGCTTATTCAATTTGGCGTTTTGTGGCTAGACAAAAAAAAGAACTCTAAAACCCGAAGCATCTTATGCTCCATTCCACCTCAAGGAGCCATCCCTAAGTCTGCCCCCACCCTCAGTAGAATTTATTCTCTACAAAGTGATAGTAATATTTTTTAAAAATTGCAAACGTAACTCTTGCCAATTAGAGAAACCAACCAGTGTCAGTAGAGTTCCGTGAGCAATGCTCTCCCTGCGGGGGGCATTGAAGTTGCTTACTATTATTGATCTATCCCTTGGGGAAATAAAAGTGACTGTGAGTGGTGCCGTTGTGTGATGTCAGCATGACGTTGTTTTGAGTGTAGCATTATTTTCTGGTGCTCATGTTTCCTGGATTGTATTATCTGCTTTCCTTTACCAAGGCAGACATACTGCTGCCTTACAGCCTGACAACCGGTTGTCCTCAGTGCAAATGAACTGAAACATTCGGAATTTAGGGACAGGAAGGTTCTGAGGGACTCTGGAGTGCCCGTGTGTTCTAGTTGGAATGTCATGCGTGGAAAAGGAACAAGGTAATTGGAAAACAGAAGGCTGGTCAAGGGTAGAAGCTGAAGGGGAATATGAAGGAAGAGCAAGGTAAAGAAGAACTTTCTGGAAGTGAAGTAGAGGCAAGCTGACTACCAAGTTGAATAGCCCCCAGTGTTTGTAGAAAGAATCCAGCTTAACACACTCCATGACCAGAGTATCTGGGTGACAGGTAAGTTGAGCTGCTCAGGAAATTTCAGTGTTAATGGGCTTTGAAAAGCAAATTGTGTGAAAGGGGGAGTCCCATTTTGAACTTTGGGAATTGTTGATCAGCTAGAAGATGGTCTCCAAAGTGAGTTTGCTTAAAGAAGACATTTAACGGTTGTGTTGTTTATAGTAAAATAAAACTTCCTACCTTGCTTCAGTTAACAATGAAGCGCTTGCTTTTTCTTCCATTCTCTTCCTCCCCTTGATAGATTGTGGCCATTGAAATAATCCATCTGAGGACCCACCTTTAGTGAGATGTACTGTCGCTGTGTACATGGTGTATTCAGTGACCATCTGCCATGGTGAGGTGAGCGTGGTCTCTTTTTCAGTATAGTAGTTAATCTTTTCTAGTGTTTTTTTATGGCGAGAATGTGAAAAGTGGCTTTTCAGACACCATTTCAATTGGGTCTGGGGAAAGGAAGGCTGTAAAGGACATGGAAATGGCACTGCATTCAGGATGTATTAAAATAATTTGCTTTTCAGGTATTAATATGACATTTGTCATTGTCACTGATTTTTTAAAAAAGCAATGCAAATGTTGGTTGTGGCTGTTTTCCGCATGCTATCTTCATATCTAAATGCTTCATTAATTATCCAAGCCTCCGGAGAATTAACTCTATTATGTTTGTATAGTAAGTTTGTAAACTGCTTGGCAAACTGATTAAGAAATAATGTGCAACACCATGCTACTAAAGTGGCAGGTTTCTGGTAGAACTATGGCGAGTCCAATTTGGAGTTTTAAGTTCCTTGATTGAGAATAAAAAGGCATTTTGGAAAAAGAAAAGAGAAAAAAGTAGATCACTCAGCTTAGCAAACAGCTGAAAATAATGTCTGTCCTCTGTGGCCCAGAATCCAGTGAAAGAAATTCTCCTCGTAAGTGTTGCTTTCCAACTCTGTCCTTTTCAAAGTACCTCTTACATTTCCCCTATGAGGCTTTAACCACCATCAACACAAAGAAGAAGGTGGCCTAGAAACTGACATATAACCAGTGCCCACAGGGATCTGGAGAAAAGCACAATTTCAGTACCTGCCCAGAGAGAATCTGGCAGCTGAACTGGTTAGAGTTTGAGCTAACAATGAGCTAATAATGAGATACAAGCCTCAGGGTCAAATTGGCTACAAGCAAGATCGCCTCCAACTATTGCACCACTGCAGATTTCTTCTCCCCATCACACCCCACTTGCAGCCAGGCAATGGTGAAGACAGTGAGCTAAATCCTTACACTGATGGGGGAGCCTGTCGTTGTGAGTGGCCGAGGGAGAGCAGGATGCCATTGTGCTGGGAGATCGGTTAGGGATCATCTACACAGAGCATCCCAGAATCCCTACCCAACAAGTCAGTGTGTTCTTTCCTGAGGCGAGTACTTAGGAACCTTACCTGATTCCTCCATAGTAAACATCAGCAATTCTTGGTCAAGTTTTGCCTGTGAGTAGGGCCTGTGCTGTCCTCTTCTTAGATGATCATTTCATCCTCAATGGACTCTACTCCAGAAAAGTCATTTTTCCCAGTTTCCTCTCTTTTCTACTGCCATTTTTTCCTACCTTTCCTCAAATTGATCATCTTGTCTTTTGGTAAAAATCACAACTCTGGAGTTCAGTTAATTTCCTATTGCTCCTCCATTTTATGGCCAAAGCACTGGCTCCTTCCCAAGAAGTAGAAGTCACAGACAGCTCCTGAATGGCTCTGCCAATACACACCACTCCTGGTACTGTGGACAGCGTGGCATTCCAGTACCCTTCCTCTGCCCTGAGGTTCTGGGCTCTCTACCAAGTGCGAAGGTGAATGAAGCGAGGGAAATCGTAACCTTGATTCCCAGTTTTGCACATGTTTGAGAAGAGAGACTTCCTAGTGTTGATTGCTTGACACCTTCTTTCCACGTTCACCTTTTATTTGCTTTTCCACCCTGAAGCAGTCCAGTGAATAAGCAATGTATTTTAATAGGGGACCTGGAGGCAGCTCTTTCGTGTCCCCTTTTTCCATTCTGTAGGATGCTCCTGCACGACAAGGTTTGATTTCCTCTTCAGCTGCTTTCTGTTTCTTGGGTACCACTCACCTTTGTTGAGTTCAGGTGGGGCCAGTGATAGCATCCCTGAAACCTGGGCAAACAGAACCCAGCGTGTCACTGTATACTTCCCCAGAAAGCGTGACACAGCCTCAGAGATCTCTGTGACCCTCTCACCAGCTAACACCCATCGATCAGAACTGATCCTATTTGTATAATAACAAATCTTATTTGCAAGCTGATTCTTTTTTGTCTTTCTATCCTGGGTTCTTTTGCCATGGGCCAAAAACATCCATTGAGGATGCATCATTCAAAAATTAATTGTGAGACTCCAATCCCTGTGTCCCCAGACTGTGAATGCCAAAGATGGCTGACTTCTTTAGCCTAAACAAAGACCATTCTCCTTTTCTACGCTTGCGTTCCTTGCCAATTATTATAGGCTGCCTCCTGTTCATCCTCTGCAGAGGTCAGATAAGATTCCATCTTGTTCTTCATCTAATTCTATCTTCTAACAAGAAATAACACAGATATTTAAATTCTAAGGAGAAGTGCTCTTTGTGAATTTCTGTCTAACAGAAACCAGATGCTGATGCACAAAGAGAATCAATCTATGACAAAGGAAAGCAGAAGATGGAACCAGTTATCTGAATAGTTCATGCCAGAAGAGTTGCTGTTAGCAACTGTTTAGCAACCTCGCTTTGGAAATGGGTTGCTGAAGGTAGCATTCCAGGTGCAGGACTCTGCCGAGCCACCACCAGGGGTGAAGGCAGTTTCAGATTGCCCCCTTTTGAGGTACATTTAAGCCCAAAGGAGTGAAAATGGAGAGAGCTTTGCTTGCCTGCAGTAGCCGGTCCCTCTGGGGCCTCCACCGACACCAGGAACTGTTTGTATGACCGTTTGGAGGCAGTCATCAAGGTTAGGATCAGGGAAGAATTGGATTCTTTTTCCATTTTCTCATAATAGTAACCTAGTCAACGCAGGACACCCATAAAACATGACTCACCGTTGGGAGCGATTCTATTTTATAAGCTTACTTCCTGTTGCAAAACTTGCTTTCCCCAAGAGTTCTTAAAAGGAGGGGGAAAGTCATATAGTGTGAGGAAAGCATTTCTGTGATTTAGATACAATAAATCTGTAGGACAGAAAAAAATACTGTCTCATTCTACCCTGGGAGTTTTCTGAGACATTCCTTCACTGCACTGGGCATTTAGCCATTGAGGTTCAATAGGTTGCTAACCAAGCTTTTCCAAATTTTTCAGAGAGAATTACTCACCAGTCAGTTCTCTCCTGAAACTCACCTAGCTGATTTCTTTATTTTTCCATAAAGCATTTTGATTCTACCATGGACCCACACTTAACATTCTAAACTCTACACGTCTCCTCCATTTTTCTTAGCAAATTCAGACTTGGCAGTTTTCCCTCTCTTACACACATCCTTTCCTGTATGGGATTGGTCTGCCCATCTCCCGTTTTAATTCCAAGTACTATGGAAACAAAAGAAGGACCCGTGATGGTGAGGCAGGCCAGGGTCTGCGCTGGATGGCGAGTGGTCAGCTATTTGTCAAGGTCTGCAACAGACCTTTGGTGTGGGCTCTGCCAGAGACTGTTGTGAACACTTTGCTTGAGATCTGTGCCCTGTAAAATGGATATGATGTTTTACTGATGTCTGTAATACATTTGTAAACTTCCAATAAAATTTGAATAAAAGAAAAATTGCCATCCGTCTCAGTCTGCCTTCGCTTTCCCTATCTTTGGAGTGATCTTTGCCTTTGGGCGTCTCAAGGAAGAAGAGAGAGGCTGCCTGTGGCAGGGGATGAGATTTACTATGAAAGAAGAAGCTGATTGTTTCAGTGAAGGTTTCTCAACCTTGGCGTTATCGATGTCTTGGACCCTTTCCATTCTTGGGGCAGACAACAATCCTGTGCATTGTGGGATGTTCAGTCACATCGTTGGCCTCTATCCACAGGATACCTGTAGCACCTTTCCTGAATTGTGACATAGTAGGATGGCTACTATAAAGAAGACAGAAAATAACAAGTGTGGGCAAGGCTATGGAGAAATTGGAATCCTTGTGCGTTGTTGGGGATGTGAAATGGTGCAGCCTCTGGAAAATAGTGTGTTGGATTCTCAAAAAAAAAAAAAAATAGAATTACCATATGATTCAGCAATTGTGCCTATAGATATTTGCCAAAAGAAGTGAAAGCAGGGCCTCCCTGGTGGTGCAAGGGGTTAAGCACAGCACTGTGAAGCTAACCACAGCCACTGCAGCATAGTTCAATCCCCGGCCAGCCAGGGAGCTACCCACATGGCGCAGCAGACCTCTCCTGACTTGCCTGCTGCTCCCCTCAGCAGTGTATTTCAGTCAGTCTGCCTGTTCTGTTCCCCACTCTGTCTCTGGTGAATCTTCTCACCCACCCCCAAACCCCCTTCTCTGGCCTGTATCCCAGTTCTTGTATGTATAAATAAATAAATCTTTTTTAAAAAATTAAAAACAGGGCCTCAAGAGAGATTTGTACACCCATGATCATTGCAGCATTATTCACAATAGCTAACAGGTGGAAGCAACACACATGTCCATTGATGAATGAATGGATACACAAAATGTGGCATGTGCATACGATGGGATGTCATGTGACCTTTGACAGAAAGGAAATGTTTATATGCTGCACCCCTTGTGAACTTGAAGATGTTGTGCTAAGTGAAATAAGCCAAAAACACAAATGCTGTTTACTTCTATTTCTGTGAGTTATATAAAATAGACAAATTCACAAAGTCAAAGTAGAAATGTGGTATCCAGGAGCTAGGGGGAAAGGAGAATGAGAAGTTGTTTAATGGAGGTATAGAGTTTCAGTTTTGCAATATGAACATTCTGGAAATTAGTTACACAGCAATGTGAATGTGACTACTGAATTGTATACTTCAGGATAGTAGAAGTTGTGAAATGTTTATTTTACCACAATTTATTTAAAAAATGGTCTTCATATGTTTCTGACTGTCCCTCTGGTATAAAATCACCCATGATCTACCAGTTGAAATGCTTTGGCTTCTTGGCATGGCTCTTTTTGAGGATCCCTGAAACTGACTCCTCAATAGACCATACAGATCATTTTTAGTTACTATGAGGAATTGGAACCAGCAAATGACTCAAAATATTTGTGTT